GCCCCAGGGAATAGGACGGCCCTACCAGCCACCAAAGAGGGGCCGGACCAGAAACACACAGCACACACCTCCCCAGAGGGAAATAGGACCTTTCCCCAGACAACAGACACCGCTGCTGGGTACCCCTCACGACACAGGTCAAAGGCAGCTCAGTGGAAGCAACCCAGGCATCCATCGACGGCCACATGGATAAATGAATGGAACACGGTTCAGCCGTAAAAAGGAAGGATATTCAGGGGCCAGCATGGTGGTTGGGTTCACGTACTCCACTTCGGCGGCCTGGGGTTCGCGGATTTGGATCCCGGGTGCGCACTGACGCACCGCTTGTCAAGCCACGCTGTGGCAGGTGTCCCACATATATAGCAGAGGAAGATGGGCATGGATGTCAGCCCAGGGCCAATCTTCCTCAGCAAAAAGAGGAGTCTAATCCTCCTCAGAAAATGAAGGAAATTTGGACACATGCTACAACATGGATGAACCTTGAGGACATCATGCTGAGTGAAATAAGCCAGTCACAAAAGGACAAATACTGCATGATTCCACTTACATGAGGTCCCTGGAGGAGTCAAATTCAGAGACAGAAAGTAGGCTGGCGGGTGCTGGGGGCTGGAGGGAGGGGGAGTTAGTGTTTAATGGGGTCAGAGCTTCAGTTTGGGAAAATGGAAAGTTCTGGAGATGGATGGTGGTGACAGTTGCACAACAGTGTGAATGTCTTAATATTGAACTATACACTTCTTGTAGGGGTCCCCGTGCCAGCACCTTGCTCCCTGCAGTAAAGGCACAGCGGCTGCAGGCAGTCTCGGCCTCCATCCCAGCTGACCTGGTGGAGGGAGGAGGCCCTTCCAGCCTGACAGGCAAGCGAAGGCAGATCCTAGAAGCCAAGTCCTAGAAGCTGTTAGCGCCAGCCCAATCACTTGCATTTTCAGCGGTGCTCCAGGCCTTAATCCGATGGGGAGTGACCACTGGGGGGTTGGCGGGAAGAGCCCAAAGGGAACCTGGCTCCCTATGGGTGGGAGGCAAAGCCCTCTCGGCCAGCCTTTTGGGGCCTGAGCTGGCAGCCTGAGCTGGGGGGAAACTGGCCCTACTGCTCCCGGCCTGGGCTGACACACCTGCCAAGTCCCCAAAGGGAAAGGACCTCACAGGCGTCAGCTTGGGTGAGAACACAGCCAGGGCACCCGGCTGCCTGGCCCAGGCAACCCACAATCCCAGTTACCTGCCCGCCAGGTCCCTCCGCAGAGGCCCAGCTAGAAGCAGCCCTGGGGAAATACGGGTCCAAACGGGGCTTTTCAATGAGGGAGCAGGGCTGCCAGCGCACCTACTGATGAGGCCTTCAGGTCGAGGGAGCAGCCTCAATGGGGCTGTGAGAGGTAAGCCTGGAGCAGGTGCGATGGGGCCAGGGAGGGGGCAGACCCCCGAGAAGGCAGCCAGACCCCTCCTTAGTTCATGGTGAAAACAAACCACTCAATTCTCCAGAAACCCAATCTTGTCTCAACTCCACAAGTGAGGGAACTGGTTGTCCACTCCCAGGGTGCCACCTCTCAGAGGCCCACCCACCACCAAGACCACAGCAGGGCCAAGCCACGCCCCTCCCAGGGCAGAGGGCCCCCTCCACACATCCAGGGGCGTCTTCTCTCCACCCACTGGCTCTGGGCCTTCCCTCCCACCACCTGGAGCCATGACCATTGCTCGCTGCTCACACCCGGCCCTTCCCGGCTCCCGCGGCCTTCTCGGGCCAACCCAGCGCCCTGCGCTCCTGCCAGTCTCCCCACAGCAGCCCACGTCCCAGTGGGCTGTGGCTCCACCAGCTGAGGCTGCCGTCTGCTCTTCTGTCCACGGAGATGGGGGGACACACTGACTTCATCTCACCTTCGGTGGTGAACAAGGTGATGGGGCAGGATGTGGTTCGCGCCTGGTGGGCACTGCTCAGGCCGTGTCCCCTCACTCATTTGTTAATGCCCTTGCTCGGTGCTGCAGGCGCCATGACAGCGAAGCGCTCCCCACACAGGATCAGTGCGGCAGTGGGGCAGTGACCTCAACATGCACTGAAGGTCAAGGGACAGTGGGCACGGCTGCCACAGCCCCAGGACATCCTCTGGGCCCGGCCACCGAAGGAAGTGCCAGCCTGCCCAAGCAGAGCCTCGGGCCTTCTGCTTTTCAACAGAGAGCTTGCAGTGGCCAGCCCAGGTGGCTCCTCGTCCACTCTGGGTCCCCAGGCAACCCCATCACGTCGGAATGACCCACAAGAGGACGGTCCCTGGGTGGCATTCTGTGTGGCAGAATCAGATGGCTAGGGAGAACGAAGGAGGCCCCAGAAGGCCTCTGTGCTCAGAACTCAGTGCAGAAATCCCCTGGAAGCAACCTGGGTGAGCAGGCAAGGGATGGAAACACAAATTTGAACTCCAAACATGATGAATCTTAGGTCCCCTTACTTTCAAAAGGTTTTCAAAATAAAACCTCATTTTGGCAAAGGCAAAAAAAAAAAAAAAAATCAGGTGTGATTATTAATGTCATGGTCACACCTTTTTAAGGCTCTGAACAACACTCTGAGAGCGTTTCCCTGTGGATCGTACTGTGTCGTTTTCCCGGTTTTGACGCTGTCCTTCCGTTGGGGGCACTGGCTGAGGGCACGCCGGACCTCTTGGTACTATCTGTGAAACTGTAAGCACTTCAAAATAAAGGTTTACAAGTGTTTGCTTAAAGTGAGTTCTGTAGCCCTTAATCCTCCTGATATGGGGCAAAGTGGGTAACAGAAATCCCTGGGTGGTATGGGGGGCCAGGACCACCCTCCTCACCCAGGCCAACGAGCTCTCCCCAAAGGGGCCTCCTTGGGGTGAAGAAGTTGCAGTTGGAGCCTGGGGCCCAACTCCTGCCCCTCCCTCCCACCCTCCTTTCCCCTCCACCACCCTCGGATGCTCACCTAGCACCCAAGAACCACCACCGAGAAGATCACAGGTCCATGCACAGGTCCCTCCTCCCCGCAAATCGTTCAACAACTGCCACCGGCAGGCAACAACCACGTGAGAACCACCTGTGCACACAGGTGCTGAGGCTCCTGGCCCTCCCCGATGCCCCCCAGCCCCTCCAGAGCAGCGCCCCATCTTCTAAGCAGACTCCCCCAGGCAGGAGGCAGTGACGACGAGCAGCCTTACTCGCGAGCAGCCTTACTCGCCAGCACGCAGCAAACGCGCCCACAGAGCCCACCTAAGCCCGGGCGACACAGCCCGAGGGTCGGGCTGGCCCGCAGACGCGGCTGTGGCTCTGCTCCTCTGCTGGGTGGCTAGACGGCCCCCTCTCCTCACCTGTGAAACAGGTACCTACCTCGTGGCCCTGGCCACCGGGGGCTGGGCCCTCCCCCTCTCTGAGGAGCAGCGTCAGGAGCTGCCTCTGGACATGAGCTGGCCCACAAGGCAGGGTCACATGAGCCGTGGCCTGCCAGCTTGATGAAAGCACGTTCCACACCAGGCTTCAAGACACTGCCCCACCGACACGGTTCCTGTGTGACCAGCCTTGAAGCACAGCGACGGCCAAGTGCTAGAGACTTCCTTCACGCCCAATGAACCTCCTGCCTCCCTCCCCCGGCCCAACAGCAGTCAAATGCTGGCCCGTGAGCAGCTGAGATGAATCCCCAAACCCGACAGGTGTCATCTGTGGAGCGTCCCCTCTCAGGAGAGGCTCTAACTCCCAGCAGGGAGCTCGTCGCAGCCTCTCCTCTTCATCACAGAAGCCATGACTGCACGACATGGCCCTGAACGTGGGTCTGCTCTGGCCGTGATCACTGCCCACAGCCAGGAGAGTCTGAAAGGAAGGTTCCTCCCATTCTTGCCAGTGCTTTCCATTAGTGTTAGCATGAGCTGTTGGTTTTACACAACGTGACTTCAGCGGGAATGTTATCTTTAAAGCAACATTTGCATCTTACAGTAATGCACCCCAGAATCTAGCCTTTGCTCTCAAAATATCACTTTATCTTTCATAATTGAAATGATGGAGAATGCTTTTATTTTTAATTACTAATAACAGTGCAACTTACTGGTATGTATAAATGATGGCAAGTGAGCAGTACTAAATTACGTTTACACTTTATTTACGTCGGGAGCACTTAAAACACGTTCTGCTTCAATGGTTACATTTTCCACAACAAGCATTAAACAGCAGTCCACTCTTCGCCAAACAGTCCACACCACCTCCCCACCAAAACCAAATAAACAAAGCAAACTCCTCTGTAACAGTCATCTTAAACTCACAAAGATTATACACTCACTTCTGGCTTCCAAGCCCATGGCACTGAAACTAGGATTGTGCCCAAAACTTCCCAGGTTTCTCCACTGCTAGATTCAAGTTGCTGGCATTTTCAAATCACATGGCAGCTTTTCACAGTGCCCTCCTTCCCAGAGAGCACAGGGAAAGGCGACAGGAGCGGCGGTCCTGTTAGAGGGGAGCAGGCATGACAGGCATGCAGGGACGCAGTCAGGCACACCAGGACCATCAGTGCTCGTGAAAACCAAGGGGGAGAGCAAGCCGCCATGCAAGAGGTACTGCAAGAGGTACTGCAAGACACTGGGGAGGAGCTTGCTGGAATCAAGTGCTTTTTCAAAAGGTGCCAATGTTTATCAACTGAAATATTTAGTTCAGTGTACTTCTCAATATCTGATCATCTGTGTGTGTGCTGCATGTGTGTGTGTTTTTTCCCAGCATGACCCCAAACTAAGAGCCAGAAATGGTATTGCTGAACAAAATTTTGTAGAATCCTGTGTATGTGTTAAAAAGGACAACTATGGATTCCAGAAAAAAAGATGGGATTTAGCAAAAACCAAACAATATTTGAAGCAGAATTTGGACTGCTTGGAGAGGATTAAAATTAAAACAATATAAGGAAAGACTTTACATCTGAAGTGATTCACAAGTGGGCTGCCAGGTAAGTGGCCAGGTGGCTCTGAAGAGCTCTTGGAAGGCCTGGCTCCCTGGACTTAAGGAAAGGTACCCCTGACGGTCACGATTCAGCATGTCATTGAAGTCACCTCATACTTAACTACAGTCTAGTTTCAAACACTCTACTGCCACGAGGAAAGAAAGTTGTTCATGAATATGCACTCGGTTATTGGTCTGACCTCCTCAGACCTCTAAAGCTATCAGCATCTCAGTCGTCTGCAGAGGGGCTGGACAGCTGAAAGGAGGAGCTGACTGCGGACCACTCGAGAGGAAAGGCTATTGGATTTAGTGCCGGGGAGAAGCAGAGACGGTCTAGGCGGCTTCCCCACTTCTGCCATCGTCACCCACGGTCGTCACTCCTGTCGTCTCCCGCCCCCCCTAATCTGACTGACCCAGGATCAGCGTCCCCGGTGCTGAGCCGCTGTGGTCTTGGGACAGAGGCGAAGCAGAGGCCGCTACCTAACGCATGCGCACAACCACAGCGTGGCCCAGGCGCCAGCGCTCGGCGGTGCCAGCGTGCCTGCCAGGTCCAGTCTAGTGGTGCCCTTTGGTCGACTTCTTCTTCTTCGACTCCTCTCTCTGCTTCTGCTTCTTCCTCTTGCCACCTTCTTTGAATCCTAAGGAAACACGGCTTGTGAAACACTGTGCAGAACAGCAGCTGCTTCCCCATTCAGAGGCAAACACATTTCTAAATACTCCCCCATGTTAAAAAAAACAACACAACACAACAAAGTCATGTTGTTCACTTCTGTCTGGGCCACACCTCAAGCTCAACAAGCACACGAGCTGACTTTTTAAATTGTGCGTTGAAAACCTTTAACATTATTCAGAGCGCCACAGCCAAGCAGAGGCTGGCGTTCTCGCCCAGGATCCTCCTCTACCCGCCCAGCAGCCAGGTTTACTCTCTCTACTGAGTCCTCAAGTCGTCTGCCTAAGGACCCGGCCTGGGTGCCACCTGGAGACTGGCAGTCCCTGTCACCTAACCCGGGCAGAGCTGGCTCCGTCTCAGGTGATGGGCCTCCTCCAGCATGGGCCTGACCAGAGTCCTCTCTGCAGGGAGAAGACTGCTGTGGATCAGGCTCACTTTCCTGGATTCTGGGTGTTCAACGTGGGAAAGGTGCCCGTTTCTGATACGAGGACCAGACCCACCCACTCCCTGTGTCGTGTCCTCAAAGTCAACAACTGCCTGACTCAGGCCAAAGGAGAAGGACAGATGGACGGGCCCCAACCACCCCCTGGAGAGCCAGAAATAAAGAACTCTGGCTTCATTTCTGCAGAAATCGCTTAGGATCGTGTGCTGAATCAGTCCTATGGATGGGGGGGAGGAGCGCACAGTCAGGCCAGGAAACACAGGATGTTGAATTTGGGTAACAAAAGATCAATTTAAATGGCCTGACTGGAACAGAACAGAGGAACGTGACCAGACCAGGGTCACTGTGGGTTTGTGACTTAACACACACGGGGCCCTAAGCCTGCTGAAAAGATCATCTAAAAGCGTTCTCGAGATTTTCCATTCTAAGGTGACATTTTAGGGCACGACCTATCCAAACAGAACTCAGCACAGTCTGTTAACAGACGCCATGGGTGGGCATGACGCTCATCCATCCACTCTGGGGACACACCTTCTCATAGCATCACAGGTGAACTGGGGTCCTTGTGTCAATGAGAAGGGCGCCTGTACCATGATCACGACGCAGGCTCCATACCTGGCTAACAATCGCCATCTGCCTGTTCCCAGATGGAAGCCTACCTGCTGAGGCATTTGCTCACGCTGCGGACGGCAGGGACATGAACACTTGAGTGCCTCCACTAGAACAGGCGTCCAGGCGCCTCCCCAGTGCTTGTCTCAGGGAGGCACGTGGTCCCACATCTGCCGGTCCTTCACCAGTAACTTGACTTCACTTGCTGCGTGTGTGCATCAGAGGCTGCCCTTTCCTAAGGTTCTGTCCAACCTGTGCGCCTTACTGCCTTCTACAGCAGCACAAGAGGACCTGCCTACTGCTAAGCCATCCAGGGCCACGCGTTTAGGAAAGTTGCCTCCAAGTTTTGAACGGGGAGGAAGAAGACAAACAGCTAAGTGACGCAGATGCCACGGCACGTTGCAGGACAAAGCGGGCAGAGGAGCTTGTTCACAGCCCCAGGCCAGAGGTGATTCCAGGGGACCCGAGGCCCAAACAGCAGTGACACTAGGACGTGACACAGGAAGAGAGAACACCCCCCAAGGTATCAAACGTGGACCTGAGTCTATCTGGGGTCACGTCGGTGTGTCCCACCCCGGACTCAACTACAGGTCGTAGGTGCGAATGGAGGCTGACATCAGGAGGGCCACATTCAGTCCCAGATGGGTCTTCCATGGAGAAACCCTCCACAGCAAATCGCCCCTGTAATCAATCGAGGGCAGCTGTGAGTGGTGCAGGTGAAGGCCCATGGATTTCGAGGAGGACACAGACACCCCCACTATCACGAATGGTGAACGGGGTTCAGAGGCCTCACATGTGCTTAATCTGGAAACTCGTCTGACTGTGGGGCTGAGGTCATCCGTCAGGAAGCATTAACCACAGTGGCTTCCTGGCTTCTGACTCCCCACAGGTTAACTTCCTGAAGGTTTGTCACACAGGGAGACGAGCACGGCCTCTTTTCTTCCCCCCAGACTCACGACATACACAAGAAGCCGAAATAAGAGAAAAGAAAAACGTGCTAACCGACTTCCAGCAAGGGCTCTCCCCATCCCTGATGTCCTGAGGCCCAGGAAGCCCAGCGAGCGGAGTGAGAAGTCCAGTCCTCCCCTCAGCTCCCTGTGCTATCCAGGTGCTCCGTCCACACGTCCTCTTATTCAGCTGCCACTTTCACACTCGAGCATGACCACCCAAGAGCGGGAGCAGAAGGACCCGGAAGAACAACTGTGGGGTAGGCAGCATGTGGGCTGGGCCGAGGTCCGGGCTCCTGTGAGGCACAGACGCTGGCTGGCCCGATGACCCTCTCCTGCCTCCCGCCATAGAGACCAAGGGCTTACCGGCCCTGGCCCCCCCTTGGACCCCGTGCCCCTTTCTCTGGTCATGAAATCCTCACACCTGACCCACAAGGGACTGTGGAGCCCTGGAGCATACATCGGGCAGAGCTGGGGTTCAGCCGTCCTCTCAGTTCCAGCCTGCGACCCCGGCTCCTTCCCAGGAGACCACCTGCTGTCATAGCACGGGGCTGGGGAACCAATTCCTCACTCAGATTTCTTATTAAAATGCCACTTCCGCTACAAGGCAGTCTTAATTTTAGAAGACCACAGATGGGCGGGCCCAGTGGTGTAGAGGTTAAGTCCTCGCGCACTGCTTTGGCAGCCCAGGGTTCACAGGTTTGGATCCTCCGTGCAGATCTACACGCCACTCATCAAGCCATGTGTGGCAGCATCTCACATACAAAATGGAGGAAGATGGGCACAGATGTTAGCCCAGGGTCAATCTTTCTCAGCAAAAAGAGGAGGATTGGCAACGGATGTTAGCTCAGGGCTAATCTTCCTCACCAAAAAGAAAAAAAGACCAGAGAAAAATAACCTCAGACAAACTAAAGGCATCTCGGCACAAACTCCAGGGCCCAGAGCTGCTGCATGTTTGGTCCGCCTGGCTGAACACGTCCGACCTGGCAGGTGCCCATCCCGAGGTCCAGAGCAGCCCCCAGCCACAGAGCAGGGCCTGAGGGGCGAAGGTGCACGCGCCCGACAGGCCCATGCCGCCCGTAAGAGCCCAGGCAGCCAAGACCGGAAGTCCCCGCCGCCACCTTCTCTCTGAGACAGTGCAGTGCAGGGAGCAGTGCCAGAGGAAGCACAGGCAACACAGTTCTCGAAGCTGAACCCAGAAAAAGAAGTTTAATTTATCTCGAGCACCAAGTCTGTCTTGTTGGGAAATCCTCCTCAAAATCATGTCAGGAAACAGACACTGAATGGAAAATCTCTGTCCCTGTCTGATTCAAACGGCCCTACACACACGCGCGCATTTGCATCAAACGTCTCCAATGGAGGGGAACAAAATCAAAATGCGCCCAAGTGTCGAGGCGGGGCGTGGAGGGGCCCAGAGCACAGGCTCTGCCATGACTAACACTCCACCCTGTGGGCTTGGACGTGTGTGGCCATGTCCACACCTGGGTCCCCACCCGACCCCACCCCAGGCCCTGCCACTTCTGGCCAATCGTGTCGCACAAGCCTCGAGGGGACACCCGAAATCTACCCGCCCTGCCACCCAACACGGTGGTTGTTTCACATCCCCACCTTCAGCAAAACACAAACTTGAACCAAGGCCCCGACCCAGCACAGAGAATAACACGTATTCACTAGAAAAAACCCATCCTTTCTGATGTTGAGGTCATGGTGCCGGAGAGCCCTGAGCTTCTGAGGCAAACACCCACGACGTACGAGGAAAAGACATGGTCGGGTCTGCGGGGGATGGGAGAGCACAGGTGTCCACTGCAAAATAAAACTGTTTTGTTATTTTTTTAAAATGGTTAATGTTTAAGTAAAAACCAAACAAGAAAAAGCAAGTCTCCTGTCCCCTGAACTCCCCACATTCAAGCTGCACCAGAGTGGCTGGCTGCTTCCTTTGCTCGTCGCTGGTCTGGAACGTCCGACACTTGCCAGCCCCCCTTAGACTGACCCTCACAGACCGCACACGTTCCCACAGCAGTGACAACGTTTTTAAAGGTCTCTCATGGGAAAGAATACTCTCCAGGGAACGGCTGACAGCTTTATAGGGGAAGCATGTACAGACACAGAAGTTAGTTTCATTAAAAAGACAAACTTCAAAAGCCGTCCAAGCTGCGGCCAGCGTGAAATCCCGCCATTAGTCCTGTGAGCGCAAGGCTGCGCTCTGCGAAAGGGCGGCGTTCAACAGCGTTCCTGGGTAAGGGGCTTTCTCCACAGAAATAAAGGATCAATTTTATTCTTTCATTCATGAATTTTTTTATGCTGAATAATTTTAATTTTTCTTTTTAACAGTTGCATGTTCTTGATAGACCTGCAGGTTGTAATTCATAAATGAAAAACACTAATTCTTCTTCAGCATTTTACTGTAAGATTCACTGGTTCCAAGTGGCAGGCACTACGGAACACGTGCATGCCTCTGCCCTCTAAGGTGAAGCAGGCCGGGTCTCACAGGAGGTTAGTGATTTAATGTAACAGCAGGTTCACACAATGCAAATGCCAGCAAGTCAAACCTGCATCACACTCACCCCCGCCCGCACTGCAGACAAGAGCTCCCTAAACACCACCACCCGGGCTGTAACGGTATCACCACTGCCTGCATCTTACCACAGACATCCCCAGGTTCCTTCAGTCGCATCCTGATGCTGAAGTCTATTAGCAATGCCACAATTACGGGAAAGCCTCACACAAGCTATAAATTCCATGTTTGAGGAGTGCATCTCAAGTGAGACCTCATTTTTAGCCTAAAATAGTCACTTCCCAGAACCGCCAAGCTGCCTCCACTCCGCACTGTCCCCTCCGCGGGCTCCAGGGCACCTTCATCTAGCGGCTGGCTGAGCAGCTGAAGCACAAAGCGGGGATTCCTAACCCTTCCTGGGTAACCAAGGTCCTTACTATGTGCTTCTTTTTAAGAAAAACTACCCAAGAGGTGGCAATATGGCATAAAGATTTATTGCCTGATCCTTCCAGACCACAGTGGAGCACAGAGGAGCCTGCCCAAGGGCCATGGAAGTTTTTCGAGACAAGGGTTTGTGGGCAGTGGGCTCAAGGTGCTAAAGCAGGAGCCTCCCGGTGTGCACCTGCTCGGGGACGAACCCTCCACGCCCTGAAGACTACCTCATGCCCAGACTCTGCAAAGCTGGGGGAAGAGTTGCAAGTGGATGCTACAGAGATGCAAACCATTGTGCCGGAAGAGAGGAGAATCCCAAAGATTACAGAAATTAACCCTTCTCCCTGAACTCTCATGTTAATTTCTTTTTCTACTAAATTCTGCTTTCCCAAGATTCTCCAGTGGTGGTAAATTATCTTTCAGTCAACAGGCGTGGTCTGCAGGATGCAGAGAGACAGGGAGGGAGGGCCTTGTCTGAACACAGGATGTGCTCTTCAGGCCGGTCGGCGGGCGCTGGCTCCACGTCCTGTTCCAGGAGGCTGTCTACACATTTAAACAAGACTCTGCCAGGCAGGCCAGTACCTGCACACCACAGTAGGTAGGTTTATGGTGTCCCTCCAACCAAAGGGACGTAGCCCATTAAACCACTGTTCAAACGGTATTGGTTCAAGGAGACTGAATCCACAACCCTGACCCGTCAAGACCCCTGATGGCACACTGCCCTCCCCAGCCTGCCTAAGACCATTCAGTACCAGGAGTTGACAACAGATCCTGGGAAAATGTCCACATGTCCACTCCAGGCAGAATGAGCTCTTCCTGAATTCATTCAGCCCTTCCAATCGCCTCTATTTTCATTCAGTTACACAGGAAAAGGCTAGTGTCTCCAAATGGTCCAGCCGCTTTTGTTGGCACCTTTCCACGGCAGCGCTGGTGGCCGGGTCTGCACAACCCCATGGGGGCCCTGGGTCGTGGCCTGAAGCCCCAGGACACTCACTTTTAGGTGGATGGTACATTTCCTCTGTCCTCCTCGAGACCCTAACAGACCCCTCTGCTTTACCTGAGAAGGTCAAGAAGGGACTTTAAGGGACTAATTTCCCAATAGAAGGGTCTGGGAGAGGAACTTATTGCTTAGACAATACTGTTTTGCCCTCGGTTCACAGAATTAAGCTCACAACATACCCTTAGATGTCACCCTGACACAGAGGACCAAGGATCAGTATTTTCCTCCACCACATAACCTGTCATAGTCAACTTGGCGACTTCCAGTGGTGAGGATCAAGATGGCACAGATGCTTCAAACTAATGGATCATTCAAACTAAATTTACATCGAGCTTTAGAACTCAGTCAGGGTCAAACCTACATGCACAGCCATACCCTCAGAGATAATCCAGAACTTTCTATGGGTAACTCACTTCAAAGATCCCTCCTGGGCTCTGTAAGAAATGACAAGTCAAGAGGCTGGCAGAGGGCAGAGCTGGGCTCTGGAGAAGTGGGGTTGTGAACACCCAGCACGTCCAGAGGTGGAGGAGACTCACGGCTGCAGCTTCACCTGGAGGAGTGGACCAGCACCCATCAGCTTGACAACAGGACCGCAACGGCGGGGGCTTTGTTTTGGTTTTGACCAAACACAAATGAAGGCACGAAGGGTGGGCAGCAGATGCCAAGCATCTCAGCGGGGAGACAGTGAGGTGCCCACCAGTTTAGCCAGTGGCCTGGGGCATGTGTCCAGTCTATGTTCTACGCGCCCAGATCTCAAGCACTAAGTTCAAGGTTACAGAAAGGAGCACTGAAGGTAAAAGCAGCGCCTGGCAATTCTGTGGCACCTGTCATCCTTTGCTCAAGACAACACACTTCATACCATCATGGAAGACTGGCACCCCACTTTAATTGTGGGCATCTGTGGGAGGGGAGCCGAGAGCACAGGCGCCTCCTCCCGCCGCCGCTGGCTCTGACCAGCCTCTCGCCTGCCCCCACTCCCACCCATCCCTTCAGGTCAGGACACAACAGCACAGGAGCGACTTCTGTCCTCGCTGGCCTTGGGGAGGAAGGGAGGCATCCCCGTGGGCACGCTCCGCCTCAGTTTCCCTTTGCACACCTGCTGAGAACACGGAGGGATCCCAGCTGCTGGTGGCCTGATGTCTGCCTTGCTCGTCCTCATCCTCAAAAATACAGTGAGACGTGTGTTTGGGTAGAGAGGCAGGCCTGTGTGACCTCAGTGAGCGGGCACTGGTGCTGGCGGGCTGGGAGGGCAGCGCGTTCTGGCCTCTTCGCCTGCACTCTTCCTCGAAGGCGTCCTCGTCCGCCACACCTGAAAGCACAGGATTGGAGAGAGGTGTGAGCACACACTGCGGGAAGGTTCCCCTTCTCGTACTGCAGCGCTGACCGGGACCACCCTTTCCCAGGTAATCACCGTCACTACAGCCACCGTGGTTCTGAAGAGGAGAAGGAAGAAATTATCCTGTTTCATCAATTGCACTATTGGGGTCTGAACTTAATCTTCCAAGAGAGAAAGAGAGAAAAACAGAGTCGTACGGAAATCAAATGGAAGCAGCAGTCCCCCCCGCCACCCCTCCAGGCATATTAATGATTTCTGAAAACACAATCAACATGTCTTTTCCAAGAGTGAGTGCATCCTGCTGAAATCATTGTTGGGGACTGGACTACCTGTGACGAACTCATTGTCAAAAGCAACACAACGGTGTCAGCCTGGAAGGAAAAAGGCTTCAGATCCAGCCATCGATCTCCTTCTCAGCAGCTTTAATTCTAGAACCTGTACACACAAGACACCGCATCTCCATCTAACGTTAACATGAGCTGTTGTAACGATGGAGGTAGTGGCCCGTTTCCCTGCCCGCTCGGGCAAGAGCGTGCAGCTACGAGCTGAGACCCATGTGCACTGGTCACCTGTCAATCAGACACACATCCAAGATGTAACACTCCTCATTGCTCTCACAGTTGCGTTTGTATTGATCTCTTAAAAAACAGAAAGAAGTCTTTCACATTAGGTGGACACTGGGAATAAAATAAGAAAACAAATGATAATATTCACTGAATGATTGTAAATTTCATCCTTGGAAGAGTTTGTGATTACCAGTCACGTTATGGGTATGTATGTTCAAAGTCCAACGACAAAAGTATATAACTATCCATCTGATGGGAACAGTGAAACCGAAAGTGGCAGCCTTCCTTGCCAATGGAAGATAAACAGTCATCAAACACCATTACATCCAGTGCTTAAAATTCTGAGCCCCAAGCAAGTGGACTGAAAGGGTCTCCTTCCAAATGTAAGCTGAGGCAGGATGCCCACGCGCACTCTCCCTCAAGCACAGCACAAAGTTTTACCCCAGATATTGGCTCTCCTTCCATTCCCACTTCCTCCCAACCTTGAAGGAACATGCGCTCATTGAGATACTCCTGAAATGAAACATGTTAAGAACACTGTAATTTAGAAGTTTTCACAATTATAATTGTTTGTATACCATTTATTAGCACCTGAGAGCCAGTCACCATGCTGGGAAGAGAGATGCATGGCACCTTTGCTCAGGAGCCTAGCTTAAACAAATCTGGAGCATTAATCTGCATTTCCATCAATACAACTTTGGAGCTGCAAGGACGGCCCCCAAACCCTCGCATGAAGCCTTGCTCTCGGGTTCCTCAGGAGCGCTGGCTGCTGGAGACCATGAGCGTGCTGGTCTAGCAAGGGTGCTTTAAGAGACTCTCACCCACCCACCCCAAGCATAGACAGTCATTCTTGAGAAACACTAGAACTTCGGGTAGCCTACGTCCTGGGGCTTGCATATTAGAGGTTTTCCAAATTAAGTCTCAAGTTCCTCAGAGAAGAGGCTAAGCCTTATAAAACTTTTGAACCCCTACAGCACTGGGCACAGCAGGCGCTCAACAAACGTGCTCAACTGTCTTCTGGAACTCAGATGCCCCAGCACAGCAGCAAGACTCGGATAAGCGCTGGCCCCCAGTTCTCATCTAGAGCACCAATCACATACCCCATCCTTTGAACAAAAAAGAAACACGTGTTATTTCTGGACCTGCTGAACCAAGCAACAATGAAATACTTCCAGCGGTGCAGGCAGATCTTGAAGCTGGGAGGGAACGCCTGGTAGTCCCGAGCACAAGGCCTTGGTAGCCGTCACCACATGGGACGTTCACGACACGACCCCATCGCTAATACCCCTCCGAGGACCACACCTGCTGCAGGTTTCTCAGAACCAGATCTAACTGCTGAGCTGAGAGGAAACTGAAGCCCTGGACCCGGCGGTGGTTCTGGTCTCAGGCAAGCACTTCACTCAGGGAAGGACCCGTGGGCTCGCCTGTCAGATGAACAAGGGGGCCTGGTGGCATCCAAGACCCTTCCATCTCTAACGCTCTGTGACTGCTGAGTGAAGGGAAACAATGGGCACCAAGTGTGCGCATGCTTTGCAAACACAGAGCATTCCCCGAACATCCTTCCCTGCAGGAGGAAAGCACAGTCAGTGGGAGGTTCAGGAGCAGGGCCCAGGCTGGGAGAGCACTTGGGAGGCAGGTCCACCTCTCCACGGATCTGGAAGGCTAAGACCCAGCATCAATCTTTTCAGCAAATAAAACAGAGGCATGATTCCCAAATACATGGAGCTCTCTCAAGGGAGCGGGTCCCACGAGGCTGGGGGGAAGAAACCTCACTTCACTTGAAAATCTGTGTTTGAAGTGGTGGGAGAGCTGGGGGAGGGCACCCGTAGCCACGTTGTGTGCTCAGGAACCTGTCACTGTGGCACCCTACAGTGGGCAAACTCCAAGAGAAACTCTCAGCACTAAACACCACCCCTGGTACACGTTCAGCTTGTCTCCACCTTGGAAGGAAGATGACCTCGGATCTCATGTAAATGAGGCAAGAGTGTTGACACTCATTGGTTCTGGTCCTCCATGCCCTGCCTCTAGGCAGAATCACACCTAATAATTTTGACATGATTTTTAAATAGTACACCTTGCCGACCAAAGTGGAACATTTGAGAAAACAATTGTAACGTTTCAGGGATGTGATGCGCTGCACTGAATACTGAACGTGAGTATCATGAAATCTGAGTTTGGCTCTATGACGGTGACAGCGCTGGGCTTGGCAGAGGTGGAGGAGCATGACATCGCGGCAGGTGTTCTGGGAGCTGGTGGTCTTCAGCTGTCACTTACCTCACCAGCAGCAGGGGTTCCGCGCCCCAGGTCAACTCAGAACCCAGTCTTTCCCGTCAGCCATTCAGTCACATGCCAGATAAAAGAGGTGGTCCTTTCTCACACATCCCGCTTATGGAAAACCCAACCTCACAACTGTCTGTCGTCCACAGTTCTGCATATGCAGCCGCAGCTACAAATGAGACTTACCTCCCACATCAAGAGCAGTAAAACCTATCTGAGTGGAGAATGGCTGGGTTTGTTTCCGTCATGTACTGTGCAGAGGAAGTGGTCATCTGTTCTCCATGACTGGTCTTCAGCGGAGCCAGCTTACAAGTGAGAAGGCCACCGTGGGACTGAAGTCTTCAAAGTTCTCCTATTTCAGAGCTTTGCTATCAGTCTAGGGCTACGCAAGCCACTGTCTGGATAAGAAACAGGCTTGGGATATACTGTCAGGCTTGGGATATGGCTGCCATCATCCGTTTTCTCTCTACTAAGCCACATACTTTTCCCAGGACTATGATGAGCAGACACACACTGGCTTTCACTCAGAGCCACTTTGTACGTTTTGTGTTTGCTGTCTATTTAGAAAATAAAAGTCACTAAGATGTTAAACTTGATACTCTGAGAACAAATACCCCAAATATACAAATACAGGAAACAGACACACTCCATGTGTAAGGTATTCTGTCGTCCCCCAAAGACTCTGGGCGAAGGCACTATGTCTCCTTCCTCTTGGATCCCATCACGCACTCAGCATTCAGAAAGTGATCAAATCACTGACTAGAGAGAACACTTAATTTGAGAACTGATGGTAACCCAGGAGTGACATGCGCTCTCTGCATTCTAGGGGAGAAAGCCCAGGTCTCCCAGCCAGGAGCCCACCAAGATGGACACGGCAGGACACGGCAGGACCCAGCTCCCTCGAGCAGCCCTGCAGTTCTTACCGGCCTACCCCATCTGCTCAGTGGAGACAGAGCTCTAGCGAGCATCTCGGAACCCCTCCCATGCTGACCTGGGCTTCTCTCTTCCCAGGAAATACAGCCTTCCCTGTCTCTCCTCCCGTGCAAATCCTAGCACCATCTCAGCTCCAGGCCTCCCTCTGTGACACTTCCTTCCCTCAGGCCTATTGCACATTCTCTGCATCCGGAGTTGTCGAGGGATCCAAGTGTGTGGCCAGGGTTGAGAGCTCGGCTCCGGGGTTAGGTCTCCATGGTGAGCCCTTTCGGAAACAGTGGTAGGACACAGAGCTCAGGACCTAACTGTCCTGGGTGGCACTGTCTTACTTACCCACGTGGTCAACCCATGAGGAGGACACCATGACCTCTATGCTCCCCCAGGCCCCACCACGCCATATTATGAGCTCCAAAGGTCACTGACCCCACAAGCTTCCCCATAAAACTTGGCAGTGTCACAAGTACCAGGAAAAATGATCGGGGGAAACGAAAAAGAGGTGAAATTGAGAACCAAAGGATGAAATCACTTCTCTCCCTATCCAAAAATTTTCGGCAGATATTTTCCAGAAGGAATCACTCCACATTCAAGCACTCGTTTTGAGCCCACCACATGCACGGTGTACTACCAGGCACTGACAGATTTATAAAAAAAGGGGCCACCATCCTCAAAAGCGACACTTAGCTGTTGGTGACATACACACCCTGTGGGTTTGTCAGGTACAATGCTGGTTGTAAGGAGGATAACCATTAAGATCAACTTTGAGCACTGTAACCATTGCTCAGGACCAAGGGCACGGGCCATCCTCCAGCAGCAGCAGCCCAGGGGCACTGGCAGGGGCTCCGGTTCTCACCACCAGGCCGGTGAAGCCCATGCCTCCCAGGCTGTGACCCGCACCACCGACTGAGAGTGAATGAACCGGACTTGTGCTGCCCACTGCCGCCCAGAGTTTTTGAGCAAGAGACGAGAAGAAAAAGGGTAAGTGGGCAGGGAGTCATTGCAGCCAGAGACAGAGAGGAGAGAGGAGAGAGGGAAGGTCCCCAACATCGGGAACAAGGACTGCCTGCCCTGACAAGTACTTTCAAACTTCGTCCTTATCTGCACAGCCTCCCACGTGCCCCCAAGTCCTGCAGGATCCCAAGGCCAAAGGAATCTGCTTCACAAGGTCAACAGGTTTCTGCTTCAGTTCCGAGGACTGAG